CATAGGTATAAAATTAAATAAAAAATTAAATAAATAACGACGGACGCTTATGTTGCGCCCGAAACGTCGCGATTTTATTTATTTATTTTATACCTACGTGACTTTACCGAAAAACCCAAAGAATAAGTATTGTTCTTTACTTATTCTTGGTTCTTTCGGTAAAGTCACGTAGAAGGGAAACAATAAAATAATAATTTTCTTGCTGTGGTTTTCACACCTAATGATGATTGCTTGTGTTGCAGTCGAAACATCGTGATAATTTTATTGTTTTATATTTTTATTATTTTATTGTTTCCCTTCTACGTGACTTTACCGAAAGAACCAAGAATATGTTCTTTACTTGTTTAACTCTCTCGCTTTCTCACATTGTGGTGGATCGTAATGCCTCTAGTGGCTGCAGTGATAACGTTGATCCTGTTAAATCGAATTTACAAGAATTGAGGAATATCGATTCTTACACACGATCTCTGATGCACGATTCGTGACCTTAAAATAACATCGATGCTTCCAAGTGGCCAACTGCGGATAAATAAACAACGCACGACTGTTTGTATTGGCGGGGCACGGAAGCTCGCGGGGGGCAAGGGGCATGGGGGAAGGGGTGAGGAGGGAAGAGCGGGGAACGCTGGGAAGAGGAGGTGGTGTGGTGGTGGTGGGGGGGGATGCACTATTTATAATGACGAGGTAACTATTGTGAAGGGTTATTTCCCTTCCTCTTGTTTTTCTACCAGTTGGCCCCAGCCCCACGGGGCCCTTCATAACGAGCCACCACTGGACGAATGTTATGCATCGCTGCATCCCTCCAGGATAACCCGTGGAGGAGCATCTCCGACACCGTAACCCATCGCGGTGGGAGGTAACGGACGCGAGGCCTTCGTTATATTGCTGCTGGCAGGGCCACTCGAGTTTAGGCAAGTGGCCAGGTTCATTTGAGGCACCTCAATCCGTTTAATGCAACGAATACGATAGAACGCTGCATTCGATGTACGATTTCAAGCTCAGGCACCCCCCCCCCCCCCCCACCATTAAGAATATTAATTGCCAAGCGCCATCCGGTCACCCATTCATGAGAATCGCAGCACCGAGTAAAGGCAATCGTGGAAGACAGCAGAGTTTGCAACCAGTGATCAATCGGACTGCACCTGGAGGCAAGGCACAGCAATGGTGGCGGCAGAAGGGCATCGCAGCGAACAAGGAGGCTCGCACAAATGATGAACTTGTAACAAAGAATATTAACTTGTAACAGGCGCACAATGGAGGTGGGTTTTAAAGGGCTATAGACAATCGTGCGGGGTGGTGACGTCACCGCGCACATCTGTGCCATGACGTCACCTTCATCTCGCAACGATGAGCCGAGTTCGTGCGCGCTGACGTCACGCCTCCCCCCATCTCGGCCGTGGATCCTGCGCAATTCGAGGGAAGTGCTATCATAACTCCATCAAATGTTCTAAAAAAACGTTTTGCTGGCTGGAGGGATGGACAGACGGTCGCGTCCACAGGGCGTGCGGGCTGCTTGTAGAGTTTAAAAATAGCGTTTTTCCATTAAAACCTCTGGTAACACATTCTGTTGGGCCACTATTGTGGCCCTGTAGTCTATATAGTAGGGACGATGTATTTATTGATTTGCCTGCTTCTGTTCAATAGAGAAAAGGCAGGCAGCTTCGGCTTGAGCAAGGTCAGAGATTCAGAAGCATGGATTCTCAGTGGACGGACATTCCAGGCAACAGCGGTCGCATGAAGAAGAATTGACCTCTCAGTGAGCGAAGGTTGACCGTGTCCTTCAATTGAAGGCCTTGGCTGCTGGAGTGCGGAGTATGTGAATGAGAGCGGAGTGAGGTGAGCGGAGAGAGGTTTTAGAGAGCGTGGGGAAGAGTATCGCGAAATGAGAGGAGATGCATAGGAGAGTGCGCGGTTGGAAGGTAGAGAGAGATGGGGAGCGACAGGTTGGAGCGTTCGTACGGAGGGAAGCAAAGCGAGATGAGAGGGGAGAGGTAGGCAGTGGTGACTTCCACGTGATATCTTGCAGACAGTGAGGGCGATATTGCAATCTATCCGGCGTTGAATGCCACACGTGCTGACTGCGTCAAGCAGGCAGCAGCATATACACCTCACTCGCCCCGCATTACGACTACGACCCCTTCCCGTGGTCCCCACCCTTACTTACCTTACTTACCCGCTGCGCAAACCTCACTTCTCTCTTTCACCCCACACACCGGTGACGTTCGCATTGTCGCGACGCGTAGGATGAGAGACGTAAATAATCGGCCGTGCGTCACGACCCCCGAAGGTGTTGACGCTGGCGAGGGCCACGTCATGAAGGAGTCATTTACAGTCGGAACTCTTTGCGTTAAGCAGTGCAAACCCCGTCTCCTGTGAAGATGACATCCCGAAACCACTTTTGAGATTCCTTCAATTGCCACACAGCCACAAATTCTCACATGCATTCGTTTCAAGGCGTCCGGTGTAAAGCAAACGTGATCATCCTCAAGAGACAGAATAGGCAGCAAAAAAACCCAGAAGCTTGATTTATTTTCAACTTTAATTGTTTTAACAGCCTTTGGAGACTGGATTAAGACGATACAACTCAATACACTTGAGAACCCAGCCGAATTGAGAGCATCTGAAACCCGGATTCCAATCCAGGATCTCGGCAGTGCCGGCTCTCAGTGGTCTGTCATGACCAACGCGGTGAACCATCAGGAGGCGAGAGGAGCGTCCATGTCCGAGCCCCCCCCCCCCCCCCCATCTACTGCACACGATGTGTGAAGCAGTCACGGTTTGCACTTGCGGTACAGAAAATAAAAACTCCTCTAGCTTTGGGATGGAGGGCGGCAACGTCGGGCCTCAGCGCGACGGCGATTCCCTGTAAATCCTCATCACACAACTCCTCGTGATTCTGATAAAGCCATCGGCTCCGTGGAAACAAGTGAATGGGATGCGTAGCGCATTTACGACTTCCCATTGATTCCACTGCATCCCTCCCAGAGCCGCGCAGAGCTGGGACGGAGAGGCAGGGATGTAGGGGCTGCCGGGGGTGGGGGGGGGGGGCTGTGCCCCTCTCGGTATCGTTCAAAGATTGTCTGTAGGAGTGGGGGTCTCCAGGGTTCGTGCTCCCCTAATGAACAAGAGCGATCTCGAGCCAGCCCAACAAGCTTCTTGAATGGGTGGTTGAAGATGGCCTTAAACTCGGGGATCAAAGATTGCAGTTTGCAGTTCCAGAACGTGGGTTTGTGCACACGTGTGTATGGATATTGCGTGGACTATCCGCCCGTATTGGGATCACGCACTCTGGATTCCTCTCACGTGCCAAACAACCCGAACGTGGAATTTGGTCAAACGTGCCAAAGCAGCAGGGCCGTCTCAAATAATGTCCTGGCACCCAATCAGATTTTCACGGACAAATTCGACGACAAGTTAAAGAGGAGAGCCGAGGGGCCAACACCAGGTAATGCTACCACACCTCACCATCGCTTCCTTCTGACAGTTCCTGCAACAGGTGCTGCACCGAACCTCCGAGTAGCGGTGTCGTAGCGTGGTTGTTATGGGTCCTGATGCAACGAATTACAGTCAATGGGTCGCTTTGTCCTCCTTATCCCTCTCCGCACAAATTACACCTTGCGCCTTCAATTTGGGCGGCAGGGTGGCGGAGTGGTGACGCTTGTGCCTCACAGTAAGTAGCACCTGGGTTCAATTCCGGGCGTTTATTAATGTGTGGCGTTTATTAATGTTCTCCGCATGCTCTGCATGGGTTGCATCTGGGATCTCCTGGTTCCTTCCACGGAACAACAAGAAAACAACCCACTTGAAATATAACCGAGATTGGCCAAACATGCCAATGATTAAAAAAAATACCCGGACATTACTTAATTGGGATGACGCATAAGAACGTCACCCGCTTGCGCGAGAAACACATTTTACGACTCATTGAGGCTTTCCTGGGTAAACACGCGTAAATCAAAAGATAAATAAATCAACATTGCCGTGTTTGGCCGCTTGGTGATTTTGACCTTTGGGCCTGTGCTTAGCAACCACGACAACTATATACAGTGTGTGTATATATATAATGTGTATATATATATCACGTGGTCGCCCCCCACCCCTACCTTGGTGTCTCAGTTGCCTGTCCTCGCATCGTCGGGGGCTCGGCTGAGCGATGTTACCTATCTGAAGCCGCCGGCGCGCCCACGGCCGTACATGGGGAGTATGCATGTACCGCATGTACCGTACGTAGCGTTGTCTTTCACACCGTACGTAGCCAACCGTGCTCAGCGGAGGTGCGGGGGAAGGACAACAAACGTTACACAATTCACGCTGTGTGAGCCCCCCCCCTCCCCACCGACATCTTCAAACTAAACCAAAAGTATTACACCTGACACCGTTGTGTCGAAGCGCGGGGCCCCCACTTCTTTGTGAGGTTCCCCGCTCCATCAGTATCAATTCCACCTCGTCACGTTCATCACCACGTCATTATTGTCACCACCGCCTCTTCGTGTTCATCGCTACCTCACCACTCACGGTCATCCTCACCTCGTCAGATTCAATATCGACCCATCAGGACCATCGCCACCTAGTCAGGTTTATCAACATCTCATCTGCATCATCATATCTTCATCACCACCACCATCATCACCTCGTCAGGGTTCTGGCGAGTCCGCCAACTAATGTCCACCTTTCCCGTGTGACACAAACCACAGTGTCGTTATCACTTGGCACCACGAGGAGGCGATGGTTATTGTGCTACACTCGCACACACATCTTGATACGCGCATGCTTTGATTTCGTTCGTGGTATATAACACGTTGCGTTTAAAATCATAAAACAACAGTCCCATAATTCGATGTTTTTTTTTAATATCGCAGTGACTCAATTTGTTCCCCTAAATCAGCCCGGCAATATGTTACGGGGTCACGATGTCGTGCCACCCCCCCTCCACCCCCCTTGCTGAGCTCGGTGTCATATCATTGATCAGTCCTCGCGAGTAATCTCTGCGCAATGTGCAGGCAGACCGGGCGGCTGCGGCGATCTCTGTGGCCTGCCGTGTCGGGTCGAGAGCAACTCGAGCCACGGGCGTCACCGTCGACGACCGTAATGTCCGGAGACGAAAATACGTTGGGAGAAGCATCACGCTTGGTGAGATCCTTTACCCATAATAGTTTTGATCTCCAGTCTAAAATCACAGCCGCCGCGGGGAATGTTTTTTTTTGGTATTTCGTCTACGTATTGCCGTCGTCGTGCTCGCGTCATAAATTCAAAGCTCGGATAGTGAGCGAGTGGGGGGTGGTGACGTCAGCCAATTAGTGAAAGTGGCGGAGCGACGATGATGGGCCGCTTGGTGAGAGACCCGTTCTGTCATAAGGTGGCCGTGTCAAAGCTTGCGGGCTCTGGGTACGCCACACAAAGGTTGGCTTCTCCGCAGCATCCTTCACGTGGGGGCAAACTCATCAAAGAGCCATTTGGCAAGTCAAATCCAGCTCAAAAAATAAGCCAGGCTGAAACTAATTTGGTTTCATAAATGTATTTAAAGGATTTCAAGTTACCAGTATTTCTGATTCGAAAGCATAACAACCAAGGTCCCTCAACTCCTTCCTGTATTTACATGACTTACTGGGACCAACACAGTGTCAGCAGTCAGTGATCTGAAATGGGCAACTTGGAGCACAAGGTGTCAACAGTTTATGTAAATATGAAGGTCCAGAAGCATGAAGGGCCACCATAAGTGGCATAAATGTTTAATCACGTCTGAATTAAACGGGATGCCAGTGCAGTGATTTAAGATCCGCGGTAATGTGTTGTGAGCACCGTGTGCTGAGTGATCACTCCGCTTGCTGTGTTTTGACCCAGTGACTTTAGAATCAGGATGTCCAGCGAACAAAGCATTCCGTACATCTCAACCGAGAAAAAAATAAAAATGATGAGCCGACATCTCAGAATATTAGCTAGAATAGACCACAATTTGGCACTGTTCTTCAAATTTTATATTTCTTTTTTACATATAACAGAGCTAATGTGGGTCAATGAACACAGTTCTGAATTCAGTGTCATTTTCGAGTTGTTCGCAGTGCTTGATGGAGTCAGTAAGATTACCTTCAAAGGAGATTTCAGTTTCGAGGGATTTGAATAAACTGTGTCTGAATCCCACTAAGTCTTATTAGCATTTATCTTTGGATAATTTACAGCCGTCCATGAATAACTTTCACTCGGGCATTGCGATATGATAGATACCGCCAACTCCAATTTAATAATAAAAAAACGTACACTTGAGTAGATTATCTGCATGACAGTGGAATTCAAAGTTATACGTGTTGTAAATTGATCCAAGGGGAAGCGTATGGGCACTGAAGAGCTGCAACCAACGAGTAAGTCGCGTCTCAGATGAACTGACCCAAAAAGACATTGGCGTTGGTATACTAAATAGGAATAAAAACCACTCTGAAGTGATGCCTGTGCAGTCTAATTAGATCCCATGGCTCACGGTATCAAACGCAGCAGACATATCAAGAAACGCTGAAATGGACTATTATTCATTACCAGCAAAAAACAGAGATCATTACCCGACTGAATCAGGCAGCCTCAGGACTGTGACCTGGGTGATAGCCAGGCAGAAACCATCCTCATAACCCATTTCAACAAAAGTGATCTTGAAAATAAGTTGCCATAACTTTTTCAATCAATTTCGCAAGAAAATTCAAATGAGGGGGAAAAAAGGCTTAGAATGTCCATTATCATGTGCGGAACATGATACATCCCTTCACAAGTGGTTTCACTTCAACCAATTGTAAGGCAAAAGGGAACCCTTCCAGATTAAAGAGTTAAAAATCTGAATTAAAATATAACTCAAACAGGAAGGCATTCTCTGATAAGCTAGGTAGGCCAATAATTCAATTATGGATGTTCAGATAAAGGTTTGTCATCACAGCCTTAATCTCTGCCTTTGTCGTAATGTAAAATTACTTAAAACTAGTGCTTTCATACATTTAAATATCACAAGTCTGGAGAAGAATGAACATCAGCGACACTTGCATCAGAGTGCAGCTGGGCTCCAATTCTGTCTTTTTTTTATCAGTGATACATTTCTAACATTTCTCACATCTATCACAGCTTTGATGTCCCCACGCAGGTCGTGAAGTTTGTCCGCCTGCTGTAGAGTGAAGGTGGCGTGAGCTCACTCACCGGCCCGTTGGTCCACACCGTCTCTCGAGTTAACATACAGTCTCTCCCCGTTAGTTTTTCGTGATCCATCGGACTCATTGCCCGGACAGTGTGAACGCACGTGATTCTCAACCGTAACTCATTATTTATATACGTCTTACCAACATTTAACGTTTTATTTGAAAATGTACATTGTCTGGTTTTTTTTTTGTACCTGTTTCATGCGAGCATCTCTTAAATGGAAATTAAATTGAATGAATATACACACCAGACGATTAACTCGATTATAACTGTAACGCAAGAGCGTCTTCCCTAACACCGCCAACAAGAGGAAACTGCAATGGTATGGCCGTGTCATCAGCAGCAGCGGCGTGAGCAGCCTCCAGGAAACGGAACTTCATTCAGGGGAGCGATCGACGCATGAAGGAAATAGAGCAAGACCAAAGAAGGCCTGATTTGGAAAACGTCAAGCAGTGGACCGGAGCAACGCTACCCAACCTGTTGCTCCACAGGTCACAAGACTGCGTCTGTCGGAGGAGGTGGACTGGCCGAACCATCCTGAAGGGGGCGCTCCCGATGACCGAATCGGTCACGGGAAGAGTTTCAGTGTTCTTCACTACCCTTTCATCGGGTGGGGGGCAATTTCGCCGATAAGACATCATCCGTGTGAGGGCCGCCACATATTTGAAACCATTGGGGGGTTTTACAGCAGCACGATGATGATGATGGTGGTGTTTTCACTTTGTGTATTTCCGTGGGCCTGCACGTCAGGGGCCGCCCTAAATGCCACCAGGGTCCTCCAGTAGCCCTCGGCCCTTGCAATGAAGAACACTGGTTGATACAAATATTTCTGTTCTGAATAGCTTGATATTTGGACCCTGTATGCTGACGTTGTTCACCTTGTATCACGTGTGCACTACGTTGCTATCGCGATACGGGTCTTTGTTGAACAAAAATAAATAGACTTTTACACTCCAAAATAACGTTCAGGCAAATCGTCCGAAAAACTTTAAAAATCAAGCAAATAGTTTGGCGATGCTGTGTTGAAAGTGGTGCACAGGCAAACTACCCTTGCTCTGCAGAAGGGTCATTGCCCAAACATCGCCTATTATATACAGGGTGCTTCAATTTGTTTAACACTTATATGGGACTATCGTTTTTAATGGAAAAGAACAGATAATACACTGTATAACATGATAACAAATGTATGTTAATAGCTTCAAAAAGTCAGAGTCTCCAATCGTTCGCCATCATTGTCAGGAAGTGCCTGGAATCTTCTCCAGGTGGTCTCCAGAGCCCGGAGGAACATTTCTTGTGGTGTTGTTGCAAATTCTGGGAAGTGTTCACATTTTTTTAAGCACCCTGTATTTTTCGCCAATGATGAGTGTGTTGTATTTTACAAACAAATGTTTCACACCGTTGAGCAACAACTCAAACTCCAGGTATAGACTGCCTTAACGTCTCACGTCTACTGCCTGCTAATTTACACAGTAGCCGTTCAGACTGCCTGAAATTTCGAAAGGTCTGCGTGGATTCTTTTTTTTTTAGCTGTCCCTCAACTGCCTGAAATGTCGTCACGCGTAGTCTCAATGGCCCTCAGCTATAGTTAAATAAATACTTCCTACTTGCGTTACCACTGGGCCACCAGATAACCAGGCCTTTGCCTATCAACCTGCTCCGGGAATTTGGGGTCACACAGTTCATCCGAATTAATTCACCACCCTTAGAGCGGCGGTTTATGATGTGGGCCATGTCTGTAATGACCCAACTTCATGACCAACTTTACTCAGAAAATCAAATCAAATGTCAATGATATGCTTTGGCAGTGATGCACACGCATGCATAAAGAACTCACCCACATATGTTGCTCACGCCGCATAAGAAAACACAAATCCGCAAAGATTTCTTGGGTAGAAACCTCAAGGCTCGTGCGTCGTATTTCCGGTGTCTTTTTTGTGCCTGCAAATTCCTCCTCTCCAACCGTCGGTCAAGTCGATCTCTCTGCCTTCACTCGATACTCTGAAGAAGAGCCATTACCCAAAATCATTACCCTACTATATGTTATTGCTGTCTTCAGGCAATGATGTGGTGTACAAAAACAAAATCTATATCAGCAAATTCTCAGTTTCCCGGTGGCTGAGTTGCATCCCGGTTCAGAAAGCCGTGTGCACACGGCTCCTGCGAGATGAACAGCTTTGGACAGGATTCGCACGCACACGGAGGAAGAGTCAGCGCACCAAGATAACTGGATAATTCGGGACACGTGCACTCATTGTCCAGTGTAGTTTATCGTGCTCGGTAACATCAATACACCTGTGGGTGGCAAGGCAATGCAGGTGCTGACAGGTCCCCCCCCCCCCCCCATCTCTGTATTGCCATGTCTGATGTTTTCATGGTCCTATTTTCAAAAACCCTACATCACTGTCTGTGTATGTGATGCTACATCCCCGTGTCCATCTCCTTGGTCCCGTGTCCCCAATATCCACGCCCATAGTTTCGCATCTTCATGGCATGTGCCAATGTGTCTGTGGCCCCAACATTCCCATATCCCCAAATCCCCTTGTCCCCCACCCCACATGTTCCCACGTCCTTGCTCCGTGTCCCACAAAGCCACGCACGCCCATTCCCTCCCTCTCTTTTACTCGGGCCATATTGGACACGTAAGTGGCGAAGTCGGTGACTACGCGCGCCCTCCATCAAAAATGGGTCAACACAGCGGTCGATAACCCATTCCGTCACAGTGGCTCGCGTGTGGCCAGTGACGCCTCTGTGAACTCTCATAAATGGCGCTTGCCCCGAGTAGGAATTTTAAAAAATCGCGTTGATGCACTGTGCACACATTAGCTGCTCTGCTGTGCCCCCTGCTGACAAAGCTTTGTGGACAACATTTTACAGCGATTAGGCCACACGGAAACCGTGTTCACGGCTTAACATTGACACCACATATTCCGTTACAAAAAAAGTTGAAAACCCTTTAGTTAAAAAACCTACATTTTAGAAATTACGTACGGTGTTTGCTATCCATTATAATTTTTTTATTGGAGTACCATATATACAGAAAATCCGGAATGAAAAGCATGGTCACCATGAAGGCATGGCAGCTGTGATGGGGTCAAGAAAGAGAAAGCAATTTTCCCCGGGCCAATATATTTGTACACATTTCACAGTTATTTTTAGAGCTGAATTTTAAAATCTAACTCAAAATTTGTTTGTCAAAACGTTGCAAAATTTGTAAAATTTACATCAAAAGCAAGCAAAATTACACATCAGACATCAATAACACATATTGCACAGCAATTATTGTTACAAACGAATAGATCCACATTTGCAAAGTGTTACCAGTTATTAAAAATCTAACCTATTATAAAAAATTGCAATTACGCAGCAAACAGTTTAAAATACAACTGTTAGTTTGACAGTACCCAATCAAGTTTTAGGATTTATGTAAAACTAGAACTTTTATTAAAAATTAAAATCATCAGAACACATTGGGGCAAGCCAGCATTTTATTAAATAAGCAAGAAGAGTGCAATCACCATCGGTCGACAATTTCTCTACAATTGCAGATGATTTCAGTAGCCAACAATGAAGCAAGGCATCGGCAGGGAGTCATTGTTGCCTACTTAAGCCTGCTGCGATTACAGATACATTCGGAGAGATGTCTACGATCTCCTTGTTCTCGTGTAAATGTCATCAAATAAAATGCTGCCTTGTCACAATTTTCTGTGATGAGTGTTTACAGCCCAGCTACCCTATATGCATTAATATTTCACCGTTTTTCTGGAAACGATCTCAACACTCAGAGAAAAACGCAGATACAAGCTTCTACACCACATTCTCCATCCCGATGGGCTAGGGGAACGAGGGCCTTTCCTCCTTTGCGAGCCAAACGGCCCCTTTCCTCCGCCTGGCACCACCCTCGTCGATGGCATCGGCAGCGTCTTCCCCATGTCCGTCCGAGTCCTCGGCCTTCGTGGAACTGTCGCTCGTTTCCACCTCATCCTCCTCCTCCGCCACGTCGCCCGGCAGACACTCGCGCAAGAACGCGACGCAGCGAGCGGTGTACTCCTCGGGGAACGCGCGGAAGTGCGACACGTGCTCGGACGTTACGAAGTCGTGGCAGCGCACACGCACGCCCGTGGTGCGCCGCTCCTCGGCGATTCGGCACACGTCGCGCCACGGCACGATGCTGTCGGCCTGCGAGTACAAGTAGAGCTCCGGCCAGCGCCAGCGGCCACGCACCAGCACCTTGTAGGTCGACTTGACGAGTCCCAGCGGGATGGCGAAGAACTGCGAGTTAAGAGTGACGGGACCGGAGTGGCGTTACGAAATGACAAAACGCCTTGCAATTAATAAACATAAGTATGATCGTTCTGTATGCAATTCTTTCACTGATAGCATTTGTATCTTGCGCTTTCCTATATTTGGTAGCAATCGTTCTTCCAATACACATGTCCGTGATTATGCTCCCAGTGCAAGGTTAATGTGTGTCCTGGAAACGTGTGGACATACGAATTGTGCATTCAAGTATTGGCTTGTGATTTTTTTTATTTTATATTGCTTTTCATATTTTAAGTATATAGGATCACCCCACCGCTGAACGAGCCCCATATTTCGAGGACACCGGCGCACGTCTGTGATGCCCTGCCTCTCCCATCGGCACCTTCAGGAAGAGCACAACGATCATGTAGAGGAGCAGCGCGAGGAGGCGCATCGCCGTGTTGGTCCTCGTCTTGAGAATGGCGTTGAGCGCACGCGTGAGGCCCCTCACGTGGCGATCGCTGGGCGCGCTATCGAAGACGGCGCCCACGACTTGCACCGTGTGGCCCCGCGCTGCTATCTCCTGAGCTAGTCGGCGGTACAGCATCGCGCCGCCATTGCTGAACACGTGCATGAGCACGGGCTGCCCCTCCACGCCGTAGTCGGCCAGCAGCTCCAGCAGCTGGCACGCCACCACACGCAGGCGTTCGCCACCCAGCGGGTCGCTCAGGAACACATCGCGCAGCGCTGCCGTGTAGCGAACCGTGATGCAGCCCTGGCATGCCGCATTAAAAGCATCGTAGGTATTAATCACTTACTCATGCAACAGTTAAACTACCCCCCCACCACCCCCTGTGCATTGTGATCACATGAATTGTCTCGACTCGGGGTCACGATTCGAGGATTTGTTTTTGTTGTCCAATTTGTACTGCAGTGGTTATTCATTGTCTTCGTCGTGTGTGTGGTTTTGTTCATTACATAAGTCACCACTCCCACCTGGATGTATGAGTATAAAGATAATAATTCATTTGTATCGATGGTTCATAGTGACACTTAAAAGTTGTTGTGATCACTTTCACCGTCTGGCCAGGAATCTGCTGGGCTCTGTGATGGTGCCCAGCCACTGTGGACAGACCTGCTGCTGGTAAATGCTGCTGTACTTGGCCAAGTGCTTGTCCCGGCAGCCAGCCCAACCAAGCAGGAACACCACCGGCTCTTCACTGGGCCCCGTAGACCATCCCGCTGTGAGACCAATGTCAAGGTCAAAAGACGTGAAACTACGACATGGACTATTTTTTTCAAAATTACGTTTCACTCAAATTAGATATATTGCCAGTCAAAAAATATTCAGTTGTAAAAAAAATCCATGCAAACCAGATTGAAGCAGGAATTATATTTCCAGATACTTGTTTTGTCGTATTTTCCCATAACTTTATTACAAATGTGTTTTTGGCATCGTAGCATGAAACTAAATGTCTGCTCTGTACCTTCACAGTGCAGTTAATCAACCCCATGTTTAAGGACAGCCCGCAGAAAGATATATCACACAGCTACTTCTGATAACCTGTCAAGTGACCTCCGATACACACTAGGGGGCACTGCACATACCCATGTGCTCCCTATCAAGAAATGTTTGTTGGATGGCAGTCAAACCAATTTTGTAAAATTCTCAGAACAAGAATTTTTGGCGAATTAAGTAAAATCCCAAATGCAACGTCATATTTTTTGTGCAGTCATTATCATCATAGTGAGACCATCGACTCACTAATCATAACTTGCTGAAACCCAGATTAAAACAAGCGGTGCTACTTCACTGCTCTGACCTCTGGGTCACTTGGCAACCTCCCAAGTCCCATATATTGGAAACATTTCAAAACTACAGCACATGCCGAGTGAATCGTCGAATAATACTTCCCGGGCACAAGCAAATGTCCCCGTGGCATTTAACATCTCGACTGCACAACAGATGCCTTCACCTCCTGCCACGAGCCCTTGCCACATACACAACCGGGTCAAGCAAATATCCCGACAGCTCACAGTGTACAGCTTACACAGTGTTGAGGCATTGTTTGGCTCCAGCTCTCCAGTTTGGCTTGCCCACCAGGAGTGGGTGACAAAAGACCTTGTGCAGGCAAACACACTGCAACAAGTGGTTGTTTGCAGTGTTCGTTGAGACGTAATTGAATGGAAGCGAAGGCGCACTCTCGGGGGCTGAGCAAATGTGCACTACAATTTTCCTTCGACTGCATTCACCTTTTTTTTAAAACCGAGTTGCTTGCGGATTTCTGAGAAGGATCGCACGCTTTTAAATCACTTACCTTTATCTACGAAACCCAGGAGGTTCAGATTACCGCGCCAACACTGCCGAGATCCAGGATACAGACACGAATATTTGCTGTGATTAAACCAGGGTGTCGAGGGCAAGTGAGTTTATGATCACGGCTTAGTTACTAAAGACTGCACACACACGTCTAAAAAACCCCACTAAATTTGGCTTATTCCTGTTGGAAGGATTAAACAATTATAACACTGTAACACGATTTTTGTTCCTGGGTAGTAAGTGCTATTTTCTAATTGCTTATGCCTCAAAAGTATAGAAAATGGCTATTCCCCACAAATTTTGCATTTGTGACCAGGACTTTACGTGAAGGAATGACACAAATGCACACCACGTTTTCTCATTGAAAATAGGTACATTTCAAAATATCAATGTCCTGGTCACAAAAGCAAAGTTTGTGAGGAATAATAGGCATTTTCTGTACTTTTGAGGCATAAGCAATTAGAAAATAACACTTACTACCCAGGAACAAAAAAATGTTTTTGTAACACAGTGGCATGTATAATTGACGTGATAAAACGCTATATAAGACAAAGGGTGTGGATAAAAAAAGCATGGTGACCTGACTTCAGAATTAATGATATAAAGCCATCTCCCTGTTTTTTTCCCGACACAAGGTGATGCACTGCTGGCCGTGAGGGTTCTGATTGTAAATATCATCATGTTTTGACATGGCAGGCGACAAAATTGGATGTCCCCTAGCAAGCCCACGCCGTCACTTTCAGACATCTCGGATTACTGCTGCCCCATGACCCACCATCAGCACGGCGGCGTTCTGCCCCGAGGCAGCTTCGGCTTCAATTCTGGGGCTGTCCATGTAATCAAATCTCATTGTTCGGCGACGTCATTTTTTGCCATTGTCACAATTTGTTGGTGATTGGTCATGTTTTTTTTTTAAACTCGTAATTGTAGCGGCCTCTAGTGGCTCGTTTCATTCAACGCTAAATGCCCGCCATTCGCCGATGACGCCGACGTCACCGCGGCGCCTGTGCCAGGCTAGGTGCACTTTTGAAGTCACGTGAAGTGTCGAAGGCTCGCTGACAGGTCACGGGGCAGACCCAGCAGGTGCCATTGGGTTGACCCACTGAGATGACTGGCAAGTGGAACAGCCGTGCCCCGCTAACTACCGTGCCAACTTGCTGTATTTTATCCGCCCGGCGCGCCGCTCGCTGTTGTGAGCGTCGCTCCTCAGCCCTCCGTTGTTTTTGGAGGTGCGACTGCCTCCAACTGACCGGTCACATTGGACACAAACAGTGGGAATAAGACGGCATCACCTCCAGGCGCGCGCGCGCGATTCAATGCGTGCCTTTAACCAAAACATTAATCGGGTCGATTAATCGCGTCACTCAACCAGAACCTCACAAATCAAAAATCACCATCATCACACAGGGGGTGGAGGGGGGGGGGTCTATAAAATAAGTACCACTGTGGGGAGTCAACAGCGAGTGGTCGCCCTATGACGGGACCTTGCACGTTGCCACGACATCGGGGCTTATCGTAATGGCTCACATCGTCAAGCAAAAGTCAATCCACTGCTGGATGAAGGCTGCCACTCATCCGCTACCGCTAAATCCGCTACCGCCGCTGCCACCCATCGCGGTTCCCTGTGAGAATCCGAACCTGTGGCGGGGACACTGTGGCGGGGGGTGAGGGGGAGGAGGTTTACCCGACGACAGCGGCTCGGGGAAGGTGATGTTATAATCCATGTCCTGCCCTGCGCCCTGCACCTCGTCGCCTGCCATGACGCCCGCGCGCCTCGCTCTGCAATTCCCAGCGCGCATAAGGCGGGAGGGCCCAGCCGGGCCACTCTCGGCGGAGGCGCGCGAGCCAATCGCGTGAGAGGATCAGGGACGCCGCGCCCCCCAGCCATCCCTGTGCAGACTGGGAAATACAATGGAGGCTCTTAGCCAATCAGAGCGAGGCTGGGGGGACGGGCAGTTGAGGTTTCTTAGGGTTCGCGAACACGTGCCAAGGTTGGAGACACGAGGGATGGCGTGAGTTGGTATGGGGGGTTGTGACCCCAGAGTGGAGAGGGGTACTTCCCTTGTAGCTGTAATGCGGAGGTCGTATCGTCGGGGCTGTCGTCGTTGAGTGCGTTACATGTACGGTCTTGTGGGCTAACCGGAAAAATGAATCAATCATGAATCATATTGCCAGCGAACATTTATGTCTTAAGTTGTAAACGGCCCTGTTTAAAGTCTAGGCTCAAGACCTTCATCCTATGACTGATTACACTATGTGACACAATTTTTGTTCCTGGGTAGTGAGTGTTATTTAATGATTGCTTATGCCTAAAAAAGTATTATTCCCCACAAACTTTGCTTTTGTGACCAGGACAGTGATATTTTAAAATTTACCTATTTTCAATGAGAAAACGGACGAATTTGTGTCTTTTCGTTCACATAAAGTCAGAAAAAAATAATTAAAATTAACATGTATCTATACTAAAGTTATACAAAAATTACTACAAAAGATGTAGACACCAAGGCGCACTGTATTCCTGTATCCACCTGTCAGAGTACATGTACAGCCCTATTGTGAATCAACTGTATGACGGCCTCCCCACACGATGGCTAAAAGATGTTACACGTGAATTGAGATAATATGTTGGGGACACGCAGAGGCTTTGTAATTAAACGTTTTCTCTAAACAGTGCAGTACTCCCGTTTCTCCATTTTAGTGGGGTACCAGAAAATGTACCCACCTGCGTTATCATTTTCTAAGTAACATCATCGGGTCTTGTTATTATCATTTTTGTTATTTTATTTTTTACCTACGTGACTTTACCCAATAGAACCAGAGTATAAACGTCATCAGGTGTTCATATTGACAGACAGAGGGCGCTAATTCACCGGTCATCGTTGACCAGGAGGTATCCCAAAGATACAGATCACCCGTATAGCCTGCACAGACTGATGGGGCAAGTGCTGTTAGCGATCAACTATGAAGGCCGGCACGGTACACGAGGGGGTGGGTGGCCAGCACCACGGCCCGACCGTCTTTGTCTCCCCATTGGCGAAGTTTTACACACCGCACTCTGTACCCGGCTGAGTCGAACTAGGGGGAGGCCCAGGACCGGTTCAGATAATCGTCACCGGTGTTGGCCGTGAGCGGGGATCGAACTCGTGTGCCGACACACATGAAGGTCCTCAGGTGATAGCCTGAGCCTGACCTTTTCTAACTGAAATCATGGGAAGCAGTCTCGGCCCAGATCTACCCAGGAACGATCTCGTTGGCTAAATCCAAACAATTGTTCGCGTCGTAGTGGATAATATTCGTATCAAAATTAATTCGACAATACGCCTCCACGGATCTATCCCTCCACTTAAAAACTAAATATAGTTTTGGTCCATTGGCTTTGCATAAATTGTAACGTCGTACTCAGATTGTAACTGTTGCGGATTTGCTCTCCAACACACCGGTGGGATGTACGAGTAACGAGTTGGCACGTTATGTTTATCTGTTTAATTGGCTGTCGGGTGGTGGCGGGTTTAACGACACATTAATATTTACGCGCTCTAACCCCCCCAAAAAACCTGTATTATGCACATAATACAGGTTATGGACGGCTATATGTATAAACCGTACACACTACTAAATTGTACTCTTTGGTTCTTTCGGTAAAGTCACGGAGGTAGAAAAATAATCGATCACGACGTTTCGATCGCAACACAAGCAATCGTCATCAGGTGGGACAACCACTGCTGTTTTTTCTTGCTGTGGTTGTCCCACCTGATGACGACCGCTTGTGTTGCGATCGAAACGTCGTGATCTATTAATTTTCTACCTACGTGACTTTACCGAAAGAACCAAAGAGTTTTTATTCCTGCAGTCACGAAAGCTTCAAATCAATACTAAATTGTAGTTTGTACGGTTTATACATATAGCCGTATTCCCCGGATTAGAGGGCGCTTGTGAAAGTAAGATGCAGCCCCGAACTTGTGCCCGCTGTCAGTAAAGTTATACTGTACATATATGGTCTCACACACACACACAGCGACCGGATTATAAGACGGACCCCGCTAAGGTTAGCTTTCATATACAGCTGGGGGGTGGCAAACGTGCGTCTTATCAAACAGTGGAGAGGTATTTGCTTTTCACTGCCAGACCTGAAGCATGGAATCTGCCCCCCGATGCATAAATCACCTTGAAATATATATATTTTTAAAATCTCTTTAATCGCAATGCTTTAAAATTATATTCCATCCTAGCGTATGTGACAGCGAATACGTTCAGGAGCTAATTGCTCACGCGATGACGGATCTTCGGCAGAGAGAGAGGGCCCTTACAGTGTGCCCATTGCATCCGTTGGAGGAGCGCAGACGCCTGGGTTTACTGTGTGGTCTGTAGTTTGGGTGATGATTGAAATGACGAGCGGAGATCAATTCGGCTGCCTCTACTCTCTCTTGCTCGTTCGTGCGAATTGACTGTCACCGATTATTACATTAATTTATGCACAACGTGTTTGTATGAATAATAATGACAATAACCTACGGCTCCTTTGTCAATCCACCGCCAGACGAATGCGTCATGGGCATTGCTTGACAAACCTGCGATTCTACGCATGGGTATACGCATACAAGGCGTGCATCGATTAATCTATTTCCAATGCTTAAGTTACAGGCATCCGTGAGTGTGTAAAATATATTATTTCAGATTCGTGTTATGAACCCGGAACTGCCCGAGTTAGATTCAGTTTCAGTTTCTTTATTTTGGTATAGCCCTGTGAGCCATTCGGTTCTTGAATCGGGTGCAACCACAACAAGCAAAAAAAAAACAAAAACACGAACAAGAAAAACATCTTAAAGTGACTGTGTGATTCCCGGACACGACTTACATTAAGTGGCGAGTCATATGCGCATCAGTTCCGATGCACCCTCCTTTAAACAGCCGCGGTAACCAGCGTGGGGAAGTATGGTCAACACAAGCTCCTGACTTCAGGAGTAAATTGACTGTGCTGCACACGAGTATTATTATTATTACTACTGTGCAATGACCCCTGCAGCCACTAGAGGCTGTTGCATCAACTACAGGGGAGAACGAAAAACAATCTCCAGCATGTCAGAGTAGTATTTAAATCGCAACTTAATTTTGTGACAACCGATTCCTTAGACGCACATGGGTAATCGAACCGAAACCGTAATCGGTATAGTCATCGATTAATTGAAAGTCGGGTACCCCAGCTGTGATCTTCATTTGGTAAATACATTTCACCGATAATCTGTAGACTGTAATCTATCAGTCGAAAAATCACATGTCCCAGCTGTGGTGTTATTCCATTTCGGCCCAGAAATCGAATTAATAATCGGTAGAATAATCGATTACATGAAAGGCGTTTGGCCCCCGCTGTGTCCTTCAATTGGTAGAGAAATCTAACCGATAATCGGTAGAATAATCGATAGCTTGAATACGCTAATCGAAAACCGCACGCCAGCAACCACGACCCCCACCCCCATGCAGTTGAACCCGATGCAGTGGGATCCGGTTCCCGGTTCCCGACGCTGCTGCTGTTGGCGGCGTCGCTCTCCGGGACCCGGCTCTGAGGACCGGGACTGTCGGAGCCGCGGAGCAGCAGAAGCAGCAGCACCACCACCACCGCACGCAGCTGCCGGCGCCTCCGCTTAACCCAGCGACAGATTGCTTTGTGTTTTGTTTTAATACTAGCGAGAGATCTAGAGACGATAGAGAGAGAGAGCTTCGGGCGGGCGTGCGTGAGAGGAGAGTTGAAAGGCGAGCGCGTGAGAAGAGCGAGCGGAGAGGCGGTCGGGGCACGAATCTCGCGGCTTCGGCCTAAGGCGCCGGGCTGTGTGATGCAGCGCGGAGTGGGGGCGCCCCGGTCTCTCTTGCTCCGCCTGCCCAAGTCACGGTGGCCTTCGTCAGTGGAGTCATTGTTAGCGTAGATATATTTTTTTTGAGGGGGGGGTGGGGGGTAAGTGTGTTGTTGTTGTTGCTCGCGTGTTAGCAGTGTCGTAGAGATCAGCTAGAGCGGCTGTCGCTGACATCGTAGAAGCGGCCAAGGCGGCGGCGGCGGCTGCTGCGCCTCCTCCTCCTCCTGCCCGGGCCATGGACGCGGAGGTGTTCACTGCGGATACCGTGGAGAAGGTTGGGACGCGGCCTCTCTACAGCTCCCCAGCCTCTCTACAGCTCCCTAGCCTCCATCCCTCCCCAGCCTCCATCCCTCCCCAGCCTCTCTACAGCTCCCCAGCCTCCATCCCTCCCCAGCCTCCATCCCTCCCCAGCCTCCATCCCTCCCCAGCCTCCATCCCTCCCCAGCCGCTATCCCCACCCACACCGCTATCCCCATCTCTCTTCCAGCAAAGCCTTCCATAACCTTAATAACTTCCATCTCATCTCACTCCCTACATCCCTCCGTACCACCTAAACACCCCCCCTCCCCCCTTCTTTATAGCACTCCCCAGCATCAATCGCCATATCTTGCCTCTCTATGACACCCCATCATCACTCCATCACTGTCTCACCAAACTATGCGTCTCCCGTGGCATACAGCCATTCGGCCATCGCTCACTACAGCACTGCCTTCACCCCTCCGTAACCTTCATTGCCTCCATCATCTCTCTCGCTACACTCCCTCTGTCTCTGATATCCACTCCTCCCCTCCGTCTCTCCCAGCACCACCCTCTCCATCCCTGCATATCCCCCCTCCATCCTTCCCCTCCCAGACCTTCGATTCTTCAGTGCTGCCTTCTTTAGCTTCATCCCTACTCCCAAGTACGCATGTCTGCTGCGTCCTTTCATAGTCTCCAGCGCTCCCTCCATTCACCATTCCCGGTTCCATCCCTCCTGATCATCCCTCTGTCAATTAATCCCTCTTGCACGAACGATGATTTCCGAGCCTCCGTCCCTCCTTACAGCTTTCCCGGGCATCCACCCTTCCTTCCATCCACCCTTCCTTCCATCCATCCACCCTTCCATCCACCCTTCCTTCCATCACTCCCTACGGCACCTCCCAGCGTTCCTCCACATTTCCCTACATCGCTCGCTACGGCACTCCCTGTATCCCCTCCTCCTTAATCTCTATTCCTCTTCAAGCACCATCTGCCATTCCATCCCTGATGACCCCCCACCACCTCTCTGCATCACTCTTAAGATGCAGCCTCCCCACACTCCCGACCCTCCTTACTTATTTAACATCCATCGCTAACGTTGTTTCCTGCTGGCCTCCGTGCATCTTCTCCTTCAGCTCTACAGTAATCACCATCCATTCTTCACTAACTCTCAGCCCTTGTCCCAACCCTCATTATATCCCCATTGACAACCATCATCCAGCCCTCACCATTCTCTATGCGTTCTATTCTGAACGTCAATCCTCGCATCTTTTCAAGTCTCCATACACCCCACTCTTCACAGCCACTGCCTCTGTGTCTGACCGCCTTGTCAATGTGTATGCGCCTGTATAACGCTAGGTACCGATCTAGATGCCTCTTGTTAACCTGTCTGCCTGCCTAACACTTCGTAACTATCATACGCCCTCATCTGTCTTCCTGATAGTCATTCTCCTATCTGCATGTACTCCCTCCTCGTCCACTTTGCTTAATTTGCATAAAGCTCCACACACATACACTCGTCTCCTTGTTAGATTTACGGTATGTTAGTGAACACCTCTTAAGGCCAGCATACAGCATGAGTAGTGTGCCCGCATGATACATTACCTGCCTGCGTTTGCCTCAACAGTGCGGTGCTGTTTGCACCCTGCACCAAGTACTAATTTAAGGCTGCATTGACCTAGAGGGGAGGCCCAAGTTAGGTTCAGATACCACTTTCCATCAATGCCATTGTGTGGTTGGCATGGGCCTTGGTGCAAGGAATTAAATGGGACCCTCTGTCCACCCCCCCCCCCCCCCCCCCCGGCTTCGTAGCCTGGCGCATGAGCTCCTCTGGCCCCATGGGCCTGGTACAATTGCACTGCCTGTACAACACTCGATAGCTATGCCACTGCTTGCCGCTGAGGTTATGTATGGCCAGGAATTGAACTCCACTCATGGGGTTTGTAGCGCAGTCTGCTAACAAATGCATGCACACAGGCACAGTAATTTGAAATCATTCCCCACTCAGCCCATAGTAATCTGACCGTCGCCTCTCTGTGTTTTAATCACGGTGCCACGCTTTGTACCCCGTGTATTTGACCAAACAGCATTATCATGGGACCCTTTGTAAATTTAAATTGAACCACGGTTTTTTTTTCTCAAAAGAAAGCGTGATAATCCATCTTCTCCACTCGGGTACGTGCGGCGAATTTTGTCCAACGGCCTTTGAAAAACACACGTGTGTGTGCTTGCTCATGTGGGAATGGACAGTTCAAACAACATTGATTGGCCACATTGATGTCTTCTGTGGCAGAGTTTGGGACTCCAGTAAAAAGTACATGTGATGCACGTTCGAACAATCCATCCGCTGCTCTCAGTCCAGCTGCCCTAGGAAACATGAATGTTCCAGCTGGCAGTTTTGTGACTTGCAGCAACTAAAATATCCACGTAAGATTTTGCTTACGACCAAATCACCATGAATATGGCTAATGTCATCAGGTCTTGGAAGCTAAGCAGGCTGGAGCCTGGCTTCTATTTGGATGGTTTCCTCTAGGGCTTGCCAGGTGTTATCGGAGTTTTAAGCTGCACGGTGGGTGGGAGAATAAATGCTGTCACCCCCTTGTGGGGGTTTTCTCCGGGTGTCCTTTTTTCTCAGCTCATGCCAAACACGTGCTAATTGTATTGGCCAATATTTCATTGAAGGCTCCTGAAAACATATTGAGAATCAGGGAGGTTTTCCTGCATATAATAATGGTAATAATGTTTAGTTTTTACATAGCGTTGTTCTTGCAAATTTAATCTTTAAGGAGATAATGTCATGCACAGCAAGTTTCATTTAAAATAGTAGTTGGGTGAACTCAACTGGAAAACTGGACAGAATATTTATACATAGGATAATCATTGAAGGCAGATTGGGATAAGATGTTTTTAAATAAAGAGGAGCATGGAAGAATGTTGTTATGCTTTTGAAAAACTGAACTTGATTATGAAATGCAGCATCCCAGGGTTGCCTGAAGAGGAGAAACTTTTAATTGGCAAATTACCTTTTATGACCTGGAGTAGAAACATGGACATTGACAAATGCAAAAAAAATTCTGAAAAGTGCGCAAGAAAGTACGGAGTGATTCACGCTTGGAATTACATTGAGAGACAGAAACAACATCGATCGGTGAAAATACACATTCGAGACATCGTCTTGACTATTAGCGAATGAAGTGGGCTTGCACAAAGAAAACACGAGAAGGGAGGTTGGCCGATGGACGAGACTGAAGGAATGGCAGACAAGGGAGGCAATGCTCCCCACAGGACGAGCAATGAGGTCAGAGTGGGATATATTGTAGCTTCGCAGGACCATGAGAAATGGTGACAGTGTAGGGGAGGCATTCATCCAGCAGTGTATTGATCATGGCTGATTATTGTTATTTTAATAATAACTTCAGTTTATAGTTCATTCAAGGGTTGAGCGTTTTCTGCGATGAATTCGGTGTGGGAGATAAAACAGCTTGCACCGTTTGTGGCATTTAATTGTCGAGAATATTTTGGCATTCCGGGTACACGGTGTAGCTTATGTAATTTAGCCTGCGTGATGGACAGTCATGTGTAGAGCAGTTGCATCATTAAATCATGTCTATAATGTGTTCAATTGACAGGTTACATTCAACATAATACCCCAAGGGGCGGTAAATTTTTACTATTTACATACCGTACTGCGCAGTAAAAATTCCTGCTTTTTGTCATTGTCATGACCATTTAATTTAATATATCACATTCACCAACTGGAGCAGAGGTCTGAACGCATTCCGGTGATTTACGGCTCATTGTGTTAGAAATAATATGGGTGTAAAACTGCACACACTCACCTTACACTTGTGAAATCTCTACACATATACGCATTGAGAATGCCTGGCCAAATCACCTGGAATGTACCCTGGCCTCTTCAGACCTCGGAAGCCAAGCAACGTTGAACCTGGGTAGTGTTTGTATGGGTGACCACCATGCATGCCAGGTGTTATGGGCTATTGGCTGCAGGGCTGTATGGTGGACGGTCAATGACAGTGGAGCAAAATCTGCTCCCATGTCTATGTTCGCTAAACCACACTGACCGCCTTGTGAAGTATTGTCGAATAACCACCATGACCTGCACGGCGTGGAGAAGCCCTCACCCAGCAGTGGGTCGACAAAGTGATGTACCAGTACATGTGTATACGTAAATGCATAAGCATTATATTTGCGGGCAGCGGTATCCAACGAGGATTTGCGCATTGCATTTCACCTCTCTTTACCGGGTCAGTACCGCAATGCTTGTGGTAACAACTGTTATGGTCGTGCCGTGGTGGTCTCGGGCAGGCACTGCACCAGCTCTACTATGACCCGGCGATCGAGCACAAGAACGCGGCGCAGAAGTGGCTGATGCAGGCACAGGTATCGCCCGACGCATGGCACTTCAGCTGGGTGCTCCTGGGGTCTGAGAAGGCGCCGGAGATTCAGTACTTCGGAGCGAGCGCCCTGCACACAAAAATATCGCGCTACTGGGCGGACATCCCATCGGAGCAGTACGAGGTAAGTTCTGGCGCAGCACGCAACACCTCCCTCCCGAGATTGAATGTCTTGCTCGGCGCGGCTTTAACTTCAAGCGTCTGGTCGGGGCAATCTGCAAACGTATCGATTAGCATTCAGGTTGAAAACAGCACAATCTCTTGTTGGTATAAAACTACGATCCAATAAATGTGCATCATTGTTATAAATGCTTTCTGCTGGTTTATATTCCCTGCAGGTGGAATGTGTTATTTGTGGGAGAGTATTAAATTGTTTTAAGTGGGATGGGGAAAAGGTCAAAGCGGTAAAGCTGCTGTAAAGGGGGTGGAATTTTAATAGGAAAGAGAAACTAACTGCCTGTTATTGATCCCAATGATTATCCTTTCCATCAGGGGGTCTGCAGGAAGCCATCCTAAAAGGTCTTCATATGCTCACAGATATCAGACCTCAATCTCTGCTTTTGCAGACAACCGAGATGTTTCTGGCCATGAAAGCAAAAACTATTATAATGTTTGTTGGCAATTCTAGTGGCTATTCATATTCCAGGATGCGGGTAGTCCTTGCTAACTCTGCAATGCTAACGTCGTAGAATTTTAATTGTCTTGCGTCCAATCGTGTCCCCAGACCGGGCGGCTCATTAGTTTTTTTTTGTCCTATGCAGGCACTCAAGTCTCAGTTGAGCACGCGCATCGCTCAGTTTGCCGACGGGCCCAAGATGGTGCTGACGCGGCTGTGCGTGGCACTCGCGTCGCTTGCCCTCAACACCCTGCCCGACGCTTGGCCCACGGCGGTGAGCGACATGACGCAGGCGTTCCCCCCGGGCCCGGCCCTGCTCGAGCTGCTCACCGTGCTTCCCGAGGAGCTGCAGACGAGTCGCCTCGCCCAGCACAGGTAGGGCACACCGCGGTGGTGGCGAGACGCGGTGACGGCACTTGAGTCGCCGCCTGTCCTGTTTTTCCCAGGATCGTCCTCTTTCTTTAAGTGGCCATCCTGGGAAATTCTCCGAGTCTTCCCAGGGCATAAACAATCCTGAGTTTTGTTACTTGCATAGTAATACACCACTTGAGACGTTGCATTTACATGTAGTTCTCTCCATCTTCTGGTACTGAGTTATTCTTCTTTCCATTTTCATGATACTTTCTGATTTATTTCTTCCTCCGAGGTGGCAACCCTCGGAGGCACATCATGACACAGCATGCCAGAGTGGAACAGCGTTGCATGCGGAGAGATGATTTAAATTTGTATCATGCTTGTTTTCCCTAGCTAAGCCTCACTGAATCTCAAAACACTTTTGAACGAGGATCCTTCCAGGTTTATTCTTGAAGGGGGCAATGTTGCTCTGTGTACATACATACACACGTGTAATAAAAATTTAGTAATTTCCAGCTAATTTTCCAACATGGGGATATTTGTATGTATTTATGTCGAACTTCTTTTGCACCGTACATATCCAAACGTGCTAATCGGAGGTGCGGGAGAAGGACCACAAACTAAACACAATAACCAGTACCAGTCAAGAAATTTGAGAATCCAGAGGAAAACCCATGCTGAACAGGATAAGAACACACCAACTCAACAACGCAGAATGGTGCCCGACTTGGGAATCGAACTCTTTCTTGTTGTGCGGCACATGCGCTACCACATGTGCTGCTACATGCGCTACCACATGTGCTGCTACATGTGCTGCCACTGCACTACAATGATTTTGTGCCCTGCCTTTCTTGCTGCGAGCATTCTGCCCATGCGCAGGTTAATGCAGGGAAAGGCTCTTTGCAGCTTGGTCGATATTTGCAACGAAGAGGAGTGGCTGATTTAAGGCTTAAATGCCACCGTTTTACAACTACACAAAGCTGAAAGCACTGCCTATTGCATTTGTATCGAAAATGGATTGGGACTAAGTATGTCGACACACTAATACGTATATCAATGGAAGCAAGTTGGTGTGGTTTTAGTGTGAATAATATTCAAGTGACATGATTTGTATTCAATATGGTAACCCCTAAAACTTAATCTATGACATGCTTATGTCAACTGAGTATTAGTCAGCCTCAAGTAAACTGTCCCAATTGTGTAAAAGTATTTTGTTCTAAAAAAATGTTTTGTGCCATTGTATCAAATTCTAAAGGTTTTGTAGAAAGAAAATTAAACGTCTTAAAATTTGGATTGTGAGGCTTAACACTGGTGCCCAGTGTGATATCAGCTTCTACTCTGGCAAGTCCCAGTAGGTGTGATACTGTTATGCTAATACCATTTGGCCGTACCTGGCGTCACATTCTTGTTTGAATGATGCTGCACTCAATTGATATGCTGGTGAAGAATATAATTTATAATTGTGACACATCCAAACCCACCCTGAAACTATGCATTAATCTTCTTCGTAATTGTAATTGAAGAAATTATTTACTCACCGCCTTACCAATTTTGTCATCGCAATTCTACGCTCAAGTTGTTTTGTTGTGAAGGTAGCAACCACTCATGGCTGCAGAGATTGCATGAACCCATTGCTTACAACCTATACCAATCGCAAAAACCTTAATTCTTAAACGCCTTAACTCAATGCATGTTATCGTGAGCTTGATTGATATTAATCAATTAATGATTTCTGTACCTATATTCAATCCCATTCAGATCGTGCATTGTAGTTCAAAAGTAGCTCTGATGTCCACTTCCTTGGGCTGTTCTGTCACACGAGGGGTTGAACTGGGTTGTCCTGAATTGATATTCATCTTGTAACTTGACACTGACAGCACGATCGGGATATAAATAACTAACCATTAGAGGTGTTTGGGTTAGATCACGTAAATATATCAATGTGTCGTTAAACCCGCCATCACCCAACACATCCAATTAGTAAGGTTTGTCACGTAAACAAAACATGCCAATTCGTTACTCGTACAGCACACCGGTGTGTTGGAGAGCAAACTCACAACATTTACATTTTATGAAGGGAAAAACCAGAGGGCCCAGACAAAAATCCACACGACCACGGGGAGAACATTGAATCTCCAAATATACAGCAATCAGGGTCGGGATCGAATTCAGGCCCACCTGTATACCAGGCAAGGGAGTTAACATCTCTCCACCACGATGCTGATATGGGGGATATAAGATAAATATACCACTGATGATAGTTTAGATGAAGTTTGCAGAATGGAAGTCTACGAAAAAAAAGCATACCAGTGCTACAGTGGAATCAAATGGAACAATTTGCTTATACATATGCACAGCCGTAGAAAGGTAAAACAATTTCATGCGCGATTTATCTAGAGTCTGATCGGATAACTTAGGGACATTTCTCAAAATAACTGCATTTGACGGAGCGTGCGTGAAATAGCGCTTTCCCACGGCGCGCATAACGAGGGCACAGGTAGATCTCGGCGGACTGCACGGAGCTTACGCTGCATGCGGTGAAGTGTCTTGAAAAGGCATGACAAAAAGATACCTTGCTCGCTACATATGTCATTCTGAGTGGCCCACATTATGTGTGAAACGGTTGACTGCTTAGTGTGGGATGGGCCCTTCATTTTGAATAGGCCGGTCAATTTATATTCTTCTGTGCAACCGAACGCGCCCGCGTGACTTAGCTGTCTGTGCACACGTTATTCAAATGTATACTCGGAGCCAACTAAATTAGAATGTGTATGTGGATATATAGATATATAGAGGGACTATCCATAGTAGAGGACCTTTTGTGTGTGTGCTTAGTATGTTGTCCCCCCCGCCCACACCTCCGATTAGAACTTGGCTACATACGGTGCGAAAAAAGTTCAACATACATACGTACATTTGAATCTCCGCTCTTCACTCTGGGTTTATTCCTTGACTACAGATGTGATTCATTGTTTACAGGGTAAAGGGAGAAGGCCAACCGAGCATTTTTCTTGTAGTCCAAACACCGTTTAAAATGGCTTAGGAGTACTGTTAAACATCCTGCACCACCGTCCAATCTTGCACGGTTATTGATTCTTCACCCTTCGCACTCAACACGCCTACCCCTATTTCATTAAATATAAAGCAGTCGCATGTCACTTACATATTCCACATGCACAGCAAACGCATTTCATTCTTGAATCCTTATGTATAGAGTATATAAAATCTTACTCATTTGCATGTAACAAATATTAGCGGTGTGACGATTATCTATCGCCCCTTCTTGATTCAATTAATTGACGTGATTTAAGGGTGCGATTCGATAATAGATTCGTATGTGATATTGGTGAATGTAGAGGCGTCTAGTTGCTAGATGGATCGCCTGAACCCGCCGCGTACAACGTATACCGATCAAAAAATGACAGTTCCCACGGGATTCGGTTCGTGTATCGTGAGCTCAAATTTCAAACTTAATTTATTAATCCATTTGTTGCTGCACTCGCAGTACATACAATAAACAGGACATTACATAGCATTGTGAAAAATATATATTTTTCCTTCATTTACTACGGAATATTTGGTTACATTCCATGTGAAATATGCTCATTGTAAGGACACCGAGATGCAATGCAATGAGTTTTTTTTTGTGAGCTCAAGCTGTTTGTGTTCTTTGTCTCGAGAGACCGCTAAGATCGTAATTATAATGGATATCAGCAGTGCATTTTCAGGGTGGAGCGTTCGTAAAGGGCAGACAGCAGACTCGATGCATATGTTGAATGACATCTAATCTCCCACTAATACACACATTTGCCAATTATTTTTTGTAGAATCCCGTATGCGTAATTTTAATTTGGAATAAAAAAATGGGTCCAGTATATAATTTTCATTTACAAGCGTCGCCTAACCTTTTTGTGTCGTGAGGTTGCGTTTTACGTACACGAGACGTTAAAATGTGTGGACCCGACGACAATAATTGTGTTGAATTTATTTGAGCTGTGCATGGTTTGTTTGAGCAAAAGGGTTATTGCCGCTGTATGCATTACAAGCCGCTGCAACCACAGCAATTTGAACTCCAGTCTCGTGAACAATACTCCGAAATATAACAAATTATGCCAACTTCTTAATCCCAATCAATGTAATTTTAGATGAAATGTAGGCATATGCAAAATATTTGCATCACCTTTAAAATGCATCTGAATACATTTTTGCGAATGTTAAAAGAGTAGCACGGTCCCCGAGAGCTACGCCCACCAAGGAGATGGAGCGATGAGATACATGGCATGTGCAACTGCTGGACGGCAGCTTGGGCAGGCCTTTATCCAGCAGTGGATTGATCACGGCTGATGGTTATGCTGGTTTACCAAGGAAAGCCTCAACAATTGACGATGCTGATTCCACATGCAGCTGATTTACAGAATCATTATTTGAAGCCGTAACTTTGATTTGAGCAGCCTTTGCTGCTTTTAATCAAGTGATCACCATCGCTCATTGGTGGTGGGGTGTTAGGGGGGAGGGGGAGGACAGGGGACAGGAGCCGTAACAACGACTCTCAAGACGAGAAGATGGTGCGTGAGAAAAACAGGACAGAGTGATTCGAGGGAGAAAGAGACCGAGAGAGATTAAGAGAGACTAAATGAGACCGAGAGACGCAAAGACAGCCATGAGCCAGGAAGAGGGAGGTGTTAAGAGACACACGGAGACACAGAGGGAGACAGACACATAAATGCAGAGAGTGGCCAAGAAATGAAGACACCGAGATAGAGATACCAATGGAGACAATCGAGGCAGTGACACTGAGACGGGGAGAGACGGATGGACAAAGACAGGGAGACAGAAGCTGGCAGGTAGGCAGACAGAAATGGCAGTTTATTTTAAAAAAATACATTGAGGAAATACTATTCAGCCTTGAATTTGGATTTGCAGTCCGTTTAGATAGGGTATTTCATTTCGGCTGACAAGTTAAAAAGGTGAAATCCTGCAAACCCATGGTGAAAATACAATTGGCATGTAGCTGGCACGCTGCTGCTACCTTGGCAGGGCCTGCATCCATGGTTTTAAGTGGATGGTTAAATGGCTACATTAGCTACGGGAAATGCATGCTATCCCTGGGGGTGTGTTTTTATATGCGTTTAAAAAAAATTAAGCCGCTTTTACTCCATCTCAATGTGTACTCATGTTATTATGCAATTATATAGTTTTTTACTGTAGTCGCTGCTAAACAGACAGTGTATCCCATGTAGTGTTATTCTGTTTGTACGCTTTCACTATTCATTTACCACAACCACCTTTTACCTCTATTTCTGACCCTGAGTCGCTACAATTAGCCGGTTTAAAAATATATAATTATGCATTTATTTGCCTGCTTTAATAATTCCTAATTAATAATATCATCTGCAATGTGGTTATGTGAACGCTGTCTTGGATTTGCCCCTAAGTGTGGTGCTTGCTAACCACACTTGATCCAAAAGTCTGTTAAGGTTATAATAAGATACGCATGCAAGGTTTACCCCCTTCCCCACCCCCCCCCCCCCCAAAAAATAGATTTTATTAATTGTTATCATTTGGGGTAATGTTTTGATTACAAATAAATTAATCTAATTTTTTGCCGGCTTTGTTTTTATTTACCATTTTATTTCGTTTTAATTTGTTTGGTATGTTACAGAATACTCTTTGCATACGCTTTGCATAAATCCTGATTATGGTTTCTCACAGGCTTGCTCGTCTGTCCTCTCTGTCTCGTTTGTGCTCTCTGTCTCGCCTGATTGTGTCTTTCTCGTCTGTACTGTCTCTACTCTTTCACTTGTACTGTTTTTGTGCCTTATATTTACATCTTCGGTCACATTTGTTCCATTAGCCTGAAGGAAAAAAGTGTGCATAAAATGTTCTTTCATTGAAAATAATTACTTCTCCCGAGCACGATTGGATGCACATATCATGGGCGTCAGAATCAGTTTTTATTTTGCGGTTCTTTTGTTGGATTGGTCGTGAAGATGAAGTGGCGTGGTCTGCGGCTTTCAAGGGAGGTCGATGGTGGTTTTTGGATGTTCGGTTGGATGTGTTTTCTGGGATGGGTGGCCTGGATTGACCGGGAAACATTCCTGTTTTGTTTACGAATATTCCATCGACCTGTTGCGAACATGCATCGCTGCTAACCACAGGTGTTGCTCACCACAGGTGTCACTCGCCACTGATGTTGTCCATCGCGAGGAATCAAACTGAGGTCACCGGGTTCAGAGTGCAGCGCCCTAACCGTTATGGCACAGCTCCACAAATTTTTGTTGTTATTGTTGTAACATTTGCACTAAATAAAGGCAAATCCGCAATGCTAATCGATGACTGCTACAAGCCTAACCAGGTGTTGGTTGTCCCTGCTCTGACGGCCCATGCAGGAAAGGCGTAGTGCGAGGCGTGCTGGCGCGCGAAGCTCCCGCCTGCGTCTTCCCGCTGCTTCTGCGGCTGCTGGAGCAGGGTGGCGGCGGCGGCGGCGGCGCGGGCGACGGCGCGGCCTCGGCAGGCGCCACAACGCTCGGCCAGAAGGTGCTGCGCTGCTTCGCCAGCTGGGTACAGCTGGACGTGCCGCTCACCGAGTGCGAGGGCCTCGTGCACTCGACGTTCCGCGCGCTCAGAGACGCCGAGCTGTTCGACACGGCCGTCGATGCGCTGGTGCAGGCCATCTCGCAGCCCGACGCACAGAGGTGAGCCCGAGCTACCGCCGGTGCCAAAACGTAGCCGTCATATCGGTCTCTAGCGACCGACACGTCTGCCGCCATGGGCCCAGTCCTTTTATGAAATATGTGAAATCTTCCAAATGCAATCGCGGTAAGGGGCATTGCCTGGGATTACATTGAGAGACAGAAACCGTGTCGTTCAAAATGTTGAGTGCCTTTTTATAATTAGCAAAGATTCCTATAATGTATTGTTTTTGTGTAGTTACACCGAGTGACATGATGGGTGATACATGGATTAGAAAACATGCAAGTTGATACAATTCAACTAACTTCTTGGGATTGTATTAATTGTATATACTGTACCCTTTCCTTTTTTCTGATCCATGTCATAGCAGTTAATATGGACATGGACTGTGAAAATAGAAAATAAAAGTGAAAGGTGTTCAAGCCTGGAGAGGTGCATGGTTAGAACTACCCTGATTAACAGAAAGAGGAACACATTTATTAGACAACAAATGCATTTTAGACTCAACATTTTATATCCCTGTGAAGAAAAGTGAGCTTTGTCCAGACATTTCGATTTAAAGCTTTCGTGACTGCAGGGATTCATATTCTTGGTTCTTTCGGTAAAGTCACGTAGAAGGGAAACAATATAATTTTCTTGCTGTGGTTTTCACACCTGATGATGATTGCTTGTGTTGCAATCGAAGCATCGTGAGAATTGTATTGTTTTGTTTTTATTATTTTATTATTTCCCTTCTACGTGACTTTACCAAAAGAACCACGAATATATTGTCCAGACATGTTGCTAAAAGGGTTCATTTCCAGTGGCCGAGGCGACGTGCAGAGTAACAGCCTAAGAAGAGAATGTGCCCAAGAGCGCCTCCACCATTTAGATGGAAGGAAGGTATATTATCGTGTGGCAATGCCGGGTTTTCATTGTTACATCATGGCATCACGAGGGATGGAGACGGCTATGGGAGGCCCACATCCAAGAGTGGGTTGATGATCGGATTATGATGATGATGATGGATCACGGTAATGATATTGATATCAGAATATTGGCGAGAGACCTTCACAACGGCACGTGGTTCCCTGTGAGTCCTCTGGGTCAGCTGCCAGGGGTCACGAAACATGGAGACATTTGTGCTGATGCATGCGCACTTGTCTTGCCGCACGCCTCCTGGGATGAGTGTCGGTGTGATGGAGCTTTGTTTTGAGCTTTCCCCGCAGAGCTCTTACGATGATGTTTACAGGCCCAGAAAAAAAAATAACTTCAAAGTACGCATTCTTGGAAGTGGCAGTTGTCAAGGAATTCCTTGAATAGTTGGTAGCCACGTGAATACGTTGCTTTTTTGTTGTTTTGTAAGCACCTCCACAATGGGATATCAGCGCACGCAGGGGTTGCCATGGTTTTTTAATCGTTGTGCGGCTCTTTTTCTTGCATCGGCCCTCAGCCACTATTTGTATACCCACAGTTATCAGTAAGATCTATGGATTATTGCACGTGATTCCAGCAAACAACATAAACCTCGAATTAATTGCTGTCCTTGAGAGTAAATATATTTTGTGTTTATGTTGCACTTTCATCGATAACAAATGGATCGGAAGTCCGCATCGATTAAAGCTTATCCCCCCCCTCCTCCTCACGTTTTGCATGCAGCAAATGACTGCAGATATGGTCCCTGCTGTTGTTGTCTTTGGATTTTCACATTAACCTCGCCGCAGCTAAGGGGCGGGAATGTCACGGCGGCGAGACCATCGTGGGCTGTCGTCAAAGGCGTCACGTGCCGCATGCAAATCCGTTTGTAGGTAGTTTTACGCAGCAGTTGCAGTAAATGGTCACATATCGCCGCGCGAAGAAAAAAACCCACATTACCATTAGCCATTGTTGTTTATATAATAGCTCGTTTTTTTTCGCGTGGAATGTGCCGCAATTAATGCCGCTTTCATTTTTAAATGTCCACTTGAAAGTCGCTTATTTTAGCGAGCTAGACTTTTATTGTAAAAGGTAAAAAATATGAAAACAAATGGAAAAACATTCGTACCGAATCTGTTGCGCCCATGGCATTGTTCTATAAATGATTCACAAATCCAATCGTTACAGCCTGCAAACAAAGGGTGCTTATTTCTTTCATTTGCGCTGTTCTAGCACATCAAATCAGCGATTCTCAACTCGGGAGGGCTACGCTTGTCAGCAATATTTAAACCCATTAAAGTGTTTGTTTTAGAGCAAATAAAAGTTAATGTTCTGTTCCGCAGAAACAAGGGCAGCTTCTGTAAAAGGCAATTACCGTGAGTTGTTGTGTGGGTAAATAGCTTTGACTTGCACGGATAATGTCACGGCCGGCCAGTGAGTGGGGCTCACGCCGTCTCGCACACATCCCCATGGGAGTGGGGGGGCGGGGGAGCGGTGCGCGGGGGGCTCGCGATGTTGACGTTGGCTCGCAAACAACGAGGACCAGTCAAGCGAGCGATGGCGTTCGCGTGCGGCATATCGCGCCGGCACTCTGCGGCAGTCAAATGCTGTCACTGCTGCTACGCTTGCCAGCCCGCTCGTTACACCACGGCGCAGAGTCGTGCACCGGAAATGAGATGATGGTGTGCCTTGGTCATTTGAAATTAAGCCCCACCTGCTGGGAATGTAATGAGAGGCAGAGCCAAGGGCACGGGCAGGTGGTGGGATCGGCCGTGCTGCGGCTAATTCAAGAGAGTATGACACATGTGGGGCCTGCATTTCTGTTTCACCAGGGGGCTGCGGTGGCATTGATGATGCAGCTGAATTAACCGTGGAGGGGGCCCGACTAAAATAGCTCAGGGGAAAAACCTGCCGACGAAAATAGTTAAACAATATCTGATGACATTTTATTAATTTGACCTCAATTATTCCTCCCGCATTTAGTGCATTTTATCGCGATCTTCATTCTATTTTAAAAGCCGTTTTTGTATTTGCTAAGTTTCCTGTTATTGTATCTATTTATTAATGATGCAGAGTCTATGTGCTGCAGTTCATGCAATTTTTTTGGAGATATATATTTTTTTACATTCACAATTGTGATATCCGATGCAAATAGTGAATCGTTTGCGATGCTGTGCCGGCAGAATCTGTTGCGAGCAGAGTAATGAAGCCCAGAGAATAATATCGTATCCACTGAGTACACGACTTTCACACGGAGTAATGCCCTTGCTAGCAAGAAAAACCACTGTGTTGACAATTAGGCTTGCAAATGTTGCACATTTATGTGGTGAAGGAAACCCTTTAAATAATACATCAGGGATTCATTATTACATGCTTATTGCTCCATAATTAAACATTATGTTCCTTCACCCACACCAGTTCCGTTTGATTTAGATTCCACGGGCTTTGGTGCATGCTCGGCGTATTGTGTGATGTGGGTCTGTGGGTCTTTGTGAATCATAGAGGCTTGCATTTAATAATAGCGGCTGAGAAATAATTTACTGCTCTCTGGCCTTGAATAGCAGTTGCTTTGCAATCGGTGGTGAGTGAACACTCCACTGCAGTACATTATTATACAGCTCCGTTATTAAAAATCATGTATTGAAACATCCAATTGGTTTGAGTCACATTAGGGAATGCTAAGACATTTTTCGGCTGAGCTTTAGTCTTTTGCATATTCCATTCTTACATTATTGCAATATCAGTTGAAATATTTAGCGCTATGAAATGTTACAAGTCATTTTGCAGATAACATTTGCTTATGCCATGAATATATTAAGTGGGTGAAGACCAACAATACAATTTTGTTTTTAATGAGTAATGTAAAGGCTAGACTTCGCATAGTATGGAGTGATAGGTTTAAAAGGACAGTTGTAAACAAATTTGACATAAATTATTCTGTACAGGGTAAAAAAATATACATATCTAAAGCACTTGTGTTCAAATCTTGTTTTTGTTACATAGGTTCTGACAACCATCTGCATGCCAAGCCTGGGATTTTGAAACATGGCTGCTTTGTAGCTTTGCATAACTTAGAAAATGATATTCAAGGAGACTGTATAAATAAGGTATAATACACAATTTCATTTAGTACAATCCATAGTATACATATAAATGTAATGCGCTGGAGTAAAAGCGGATTGATTCAAGCACTGCGCTGTAAACCCAGCAATCTGAGTTCAATTCCCAACCATGGCTCACATCAGTGGTGGGCAATATCCAGGACATTTCAAAATAATCCCCAGGGAAAGAGACCTTTATCCAGCAGTGGATTGACAAGGCGCTTAATGTTAGTTCAATATCCACTGCGACAACCATAAATTATTGTCCAGTTTCGCATGGGTTGCGTTGGTGCCACCCATCTCAACAGTCATCCCTGATTGAGCTAGCAATGGATTTTAACATAAGAAGAAGAAGAAACGTTGTCAACGTTCAACCGACAGGAGTGCGGCGCCGTGTTTCTCATGCCCGGCACGTCTCGGCGAAGCCGCATGTGCTGCGGCTAAGCAGCTGAGTAACGGCGCATCGCGGCACTGCCTTAACAAGGGGCCCGGGTCGTGATCCATGCCGCACAAAGAGAAAGAGAGATGGCTCGAAATTAATTGAATAGGGTTTTTGCACACCCTCCAGTTTGTCATTTGCCATTTTTTAAAACAAAAGAACTACTGAAACAGCCCAACAAAGCAAATAGTTTTAAAAGTATAAACAGAATCCACTTTGTGAAGACTAATGAGACATTCAAATTGAGGCTTGCGCAGAAAACAAACTCGGCCTTAAAATAATGCAGCTTAAATCTTGCGTGCCTGCCGGCTGCCAAAACAAAGTGCACCATCCTTGAAAGTTGGACGAGGGAACGCTTCTTCAAGGCCATTTCACATATACCAATAACTTCCTCAAATCATCGCTGTGTTTTTTTTCCCCTCTCCCCCTGTGAAAGTGATACCGGTGCAATGAATACCACGAGATGTTGTGACAGCTCGCCAATACGTGTTGGCTTCCACAAGTCGTCACCCAGTGAGGAGTTGGATGTTAAAGGGATTGTTTTACTTTGGAAGCGTATTTTTCTGCC